AAGTCTTCAAATATTACTTGTATGGTATGCTTATCATCCCTTCACCTAATATAAATGTACATGGAGAAAAATGTGCTTTTATAGATGTTCTTTTAGAAATATACAAAAATAGCAAATTATGAGCAAGTGCATGTCCACAGGGAATCTCATATACATACAAAAATAAAGTGGTGTTTGAGCTGACACATACCTGGAGAACATGTTCCATGGTATTTCTAGTTTACACCCCAACAGTCCATTCAAATAGTTACAACTAAATCTGAATTCACAAAAAATTTAACTTTTCCAGGAAAACTGACACAAGCAGTACACATTTTGAAGCTGAGGTACCTCTGCTTGTGGATCTACCCGAATCTCCCATTTTGAGGAGGCTCTGTGTGCACAGTGACCCCGAGGGAGCAGCTCCCTCTGCAGATTTTTGTGCCCCAGAGAGAGGGCTCTCCTGGAAGCTGCAACAAAAGCTTCCCAGAAGCCCACAATTCTTTTTTTTTTAATCAACTCTTAGATTAAAATGTCTTGAAGGAATCACCAAACCTAAATACTGTTTCTAGCACACGATTTTTACTAGGTTCTCACTGTGTCTTTTAAAATGCTTCAACCACTCTCCCTCAGCCTTTTTTCCTCTGACCCCAGCTCAGCCCAGCCCACTGAGCGCCCTCAGTCCCCGCAGGGCCCCGGCCGGGCAGGTGTTAGAGAGCTTGCAAGGGTTTTCAGAGTGAAGAGAAAGGCAAGAATCTTGACTTCATGTTCAGAAGGCTTGATTTATTATTTTATGATATATATTACATTATTACTATGCTAAAAAGAATAGAAAGTTCTCAGAAGCTAGCTAACTTAAGAATAGAAAAGGAATGAATAACAAAGTTCTGTGTCTCAGCACAGAGTGAGACTCCGCTCTGCCGTGAGTGGTCAGTAAATCCAAACATTCACCCAAGACCAATCACAAATCTACCTGTTGCATTCTACAGCAGCAGATAACCATTGTTTACATTTTGTTGCTGAGGCCACAGCTTCTCAGAAGGGGGAAAAATCCTAAAGAAAGGATTTTTGTTGGGAATTTAGCTGTTAAGGACTGGAAAAGTACAAAACCGTGGCTAATTCCAAGTCCTGCACCTGTGTAGATAGTGTGTCCTTGGGACTAGCTGTAGTATAATAACAAACAGTGAAAGAGACATGAGAAAAGAGAGATGTAACCCCTAAGGAATGAGGATGAGTTAATGCTATAGTTTAACCAATAGATTGCTTGGCTTACAGAATATTCATAAGCTTATTATTTGCTGTATAAATGTTTGATACTTTCTTCAATAAACTGGAGCAGAAGGACCTGAGGGACCGGGACTGGACCGGACCCGAAGGGCCTGTGATGAACCAACTGGTGTCCTGGTCCCCTTCCTTCGACAGATTTTTATGAAAAGATGTCGGTGACAGGCAGGGCTGCGGACACGGCCCCGGCCCCACCACACTGGTGCCGCTCCCGGGGCCGTGGATGCGCTCCCGGCACAACGGGGATTGTTCTGCACGGCCTCGGCCAAGGGCAGCTTCTTGTCAGTGCTTCTTGTCCCACCTTTTCAAGCACTAAGAGGGGCTTGAACCACCTTTTTACACGCTAAAAAGAATATGCTTTACCACCTTCTGTGTGTGCCTCCCGTGGGGCTCCAATCCCTGCAGGAGCGTCACCAAATCTGAACAAAATTATGCCTCAACAGATGGGCCCAGGACCACCCTTAGCGTTTATATTGAATGTGCTCAGGGAATTTGAACAGCCATGCTCAGGCTCCTCCCTGCTCCAAAGATGTAGATGAACTCACCTGGTAGCACCGTTTGGGTGCTTGGAGAAGGAAGACTCTAAAGGTAGTGGGTCCCACCTGGATCGACAAACTATAAAGGAAACCTTTCTGACCGGTCTAATGCCCCTCTGGGCACCCCACTGAGCCACCTGCTCTGCCTGTGCTCCTCAACAGCCAGCGGGGGTCCTGCTAGTCCCAAATATTTTGTTAAACTCTGCTGGGGTCCACACCCTGAAGAGCTGTCTATGCCATCTGCTTCTTTTTTGAACATGATAGAAGCTTGCTCAAAATGATCGCATGAGATGCTGAAATTTGTCCTGAGAGCCTCAACCCCTGCAGTGTCCCAGAGACACAGACACCTGCTCGGTATGTTTGAGCCAGGATTTCCCCTTCCCACCCTCTTAGTGGGATCTGAACCCCTAGGAGTCCACGAGCACCCTCAAGGAGCTGCCCCAGAGCCCTCTGCTTGGGAGGTGTCCCTGGTAAAGGTGCAGGGGCAAAGCTCTGCCTGGCACATCCACAAGAAACTCAATTTGTGCTCAGTGCTGCTGAGCTCCAGCAGAAGAGCTGAAGCTACTGGGAGGACTGGGAGGCTCCTGGCACCCCTGATCTGCCAGACACCCTGAGGCATTGGGAGCCAGGGATGACTTTGAAAGTGTGACCCTTGCTAGTGCTAGTGAGGCTGAGTGCTGGGCTGGGGGTGTCTGGTGGGTGGAGAACTTTTCTCTTGCTTTCAGTTTGCTGTTCCTTGGCTGTGTGGCAGGTCTCTGGTCTCACTGGGGATTTGCCATTTTGCCTTTTTTTGGGTTTGTACCCCTGCTGTGGTGCTACACTGGTGGTGGGGGGCTCAGGTGATGCCTCTGGCTTACTCACTCCAGCACCTTGGTGGCGTGGATGCAGGGGTTCAGCCTGCCCTTCCTAGCTGGTGCAGCTCTGTGTGCACACAAACACCTTCCCTTTTTGCCAAATAACGATTTGGTTTCCACTGAAGAATGAAAAAGAGCTTGAGGCTCTGCTGTCACCTCTCTTGATGGCTGTTGTTACTGTTCAGAGGGAGCTTTGTGCAGCAGGCTGAGCCTATCCTCACTTTTTGAAGCCACAAACACAACTGACTCGAGATGTTGGTGCCTGATGCAAAACTTCATCTTGATCAAATGATGCTTTGTGAGAATCCCGGGACAATCCACTTCTCCTGACGGCTCCAAGCTCGGCACTGAGCGGCAGGCACGCCAGCTCGGCGCCACCCATTGGAGCACAGCCCCAGACTATCCCACAGTGCTGCTGGCCCCAAAAACCCCATCCCACCATGTCCAGACCCTGCAGCCTTTGGTCCACACCATCCCCACCTTCAGAAGCAGCCCTTAGACCAGCCCTCACTGGGGTTTTGCTGGGGGCTCCTGAAGTGCCGGGTGGCACAGCAGGTCCCGGCCCCTGCAGGAGCACGGCTGCTTTGGGAGCAGCAGGAGCTGTGCTCAGGGCTGTTCCTGCCGGAGCTGTGCTCGGGGCTGTTCCTGCCGGAGCTGTGCTCGGGGCTGTGCTCGGGGCTGTGCTCGGAGCCGTTCCTGCCGGAGCTGTGGTCTGGGCTGTGCTCGGAGCCGTTCCTGCAGGAGCCGTGCTCGGAGCTGTGGCTCGGGGCTGTTCCTGCCGGAGCTGTGGCTCGGAGCCGTTCCTGCAGGAGCCGTGCTCGGAGCTGTGGCTCGGGGCTGTTCCTGCCGGAGCTGTGGCTCGGAGCCGTTCCTGCCGGAGCTGTGCTCGGGCCGCGCTGTGCGGGGCTGGCGCTGGAGGGAGCCCTGAGGCAGCTCCGAGACGCTGCCACGAGCTACAGTTGAAGTGGTTGTTAAAAAGCAAAGAGGTGGGGGACTTTAGATGAAAACAGATCCTGACTTGGCTTCTGCAGAGGGAGCTTGAAGGGGCCCGAGGATGCCACATGCTCCAGTGTGGCACCGATGGCCCTGGGGCATGGGTGGCACAGACACTGATGGAATGTGCAGCAGAACAGGCAAGACTGAGACACACAGAAAAGGAGAAGCTGTGATCCCCCTAGCATAGGCAAGATTTAGAGCATTTAGCATTTGCCCATTTGTCATTTACTAAACCCTGGACAGTGTCTGGTACTGGCTGGTACCACCCACCAGGCACCTCCTGCAGATCAAATACATCACAAAGACTTGGGGAGCAAACCCCAAGTATGCAAAAAAACTGGCATTGCAGAAGAGCTCCTTCAGCAGCTTCTATTTGATGCATAAATCCCACCTCAGTCTCATCACTTTAACATCCAGACTAAAACATGCACTCCAGTATCTGCTGCTGCACTCAAGGACTAAGCAGGTTTTGAATTAAGCAAAGAGAATATTAAAAATGCATTTCTGAATGCAGGAGTGGGCACAGAGCTGGGCATAATGGGCTGTTTGCACAATTGTGCTTGGAGCTATCATCAACCCTGGGATTTCCCCCAGGGAAGCAGGACAGATGTGGGAGCTGGGGCCACATTTAGGTACATGAGGTATTTATAGAGCTGCTCAGGGGACTAGACCAGTCTCATCTCCTCTTCCTTCCTTGTATAGCAAGCAAGAACCTAGGATTTTCTCCAGCTGTAGTATATTTGAGCTGGAGGAAAAAATATAGAGGGGATTGGGAGCACTGCTGGAATTTACCCCCATCACCTTAAAGATCCCTGCTCCAGCCCCAGCTCATCTCATCCCCACATCTGCAATCACCCCCATAGAAGTGACAATAAATGCTTTTGGAGATGACTACACAGATGTGTTGCTATTTAATGGGACTTGCCCTGATCAGCTGACGGCCTGGATTTTCTTTGTTGGGCCTGGATTATCCAGACTTCAACCTCTGCTCATTTTCAAAGAGTTGGCACAGGCTTTTCCAGCCACCTTCAAGGAATGTCCCCTTCCTTCAAAGGTCTGCCATCAGGGAATAAGAAAACCCAACACATCAGCACTTCTTAAGAAGCTGCTGCCACACAGTCTAATTTCCAGGAAGAAAAGAAATTAAACTTCAAGCAGATTAAAACCTGCTGCTGGGCCCTATACCAGCAATTTATCAGAGCTTCATAAGGCTACAGCTGAACACGGAGGCCAGAAGGGAGTCAAGTGCTTAGGTCACAATTCCAATAAAGTTTTCAAATGCAGACTCATCACAATGCTCCCACACACCTGCCACAGGTAAACCATCAGGAAAATAATCCAGGCAGGACACTTAAAGGCTTGTTTTTATTAAAAGACATCTTGAGAAAAGATATTTTAGTACAAAAAATGTTTAAAATACACAAACTACACTTGCTTTCCTTTCCAGCATCAACATTTATAAATTACACCACATTGTTATTAACACTGCATTTAAATATCAAAACAAATTGAAACAGAGAATTCATCAACGAGTCCAACATCCTACAAACAACTATGTACAGTATTTAGCAGCTAGGAGCTCTAGCACAGTAGTCAATATGACTTCAATAGGGCAGGATGCTTGGGAAGCCCCAAGACTGTAGCTTAGCCTGTAAGTTTTCAGGGACCTGTTTTGGCCACCTCTCCCCAGACACCCACCCCAAAGGCAGAGGTGATGCCATACACCATAGTACACAGCTAATGAAGTGTGGCTCTTGCAGAGAAACCCTGCTGTCCCCTGGCTTTGTAGTACTGGGATACACATGCAGGACAGGTCCAGTCTGTGAGGTGTCCGGTGGAAGAGGGCAGCCCCTCCTTCTGGGGCGCTGACAGTGCCAGCAAGGCTGGTGCCCCCAGGGACAGCCACTGCTCTGGGTCTGTGCTGTCCCACTGCTGTCCTACCCACCCCCAGCAGCACTGGCAGGCAGAGCTGCCCAGGACCTGGCCCCTCAGGCAACCAGCTGCAGGATCTCACCCAACAGGCTCAGAGCTGGAAGCAGTTTTCCCAGCTCCCAGCAAATTCCAGCACAGCCAGAAATACAGGTCTTCAAAGGGAAGGCAAGTGAGCCGGAGGTCTCCCCTTCTGCACAGGTCACTGTCAGCTTTCCCACCGAGCCCTGCACCTCAGGGGGCAGGGGCTGCACAGATGGAGCTGCCTGAGCTCACTGCCCCCAGCCCCTGCACAGGAAGGAGCTCCAGGGGCTCTCACAGGGGGTACCTGGGACATCATTGGGGAACAACAGTGAAAGACAGGACATAGCAAGACTCCATACCCAGTGCTGTGGTCCAGAGCAGTGAGACACTTCCTGTGCCCCTCCTGCCCCAGGCCCAGCTCATCAACACAGTACAGAAATGTTAAGACAGGATACAAAGCACCGGACAATTTGAACTTGCTGCAGCAGCACATGGCAGGTCAGAAAACCCTTGTGCATGCTCTGGAGGTGGATCTCCCTCCTGGGGCTCCTCTTCGGGTTTGGGAACTCCCATCCAGAGATTCTGGCAATGTGGAGCTGTTTTACTTTTAGTGAGGAGCAGTGTTGTGCCTCTAAAGGGCTTCTAACCAAGGAAGGGGAGGTTGTTTTCTGTAAACACTGATGGAGCTCAGGTCCATGCTCCACAGAGAAAGTCTCAAGTAGGAACTTTAGGGCTCTGTTTCCAGTGCTGCAGGTTGGATTTTCATGATGGTTGACTTCAGGGGGTAGTACCTGCCCTTCCATGTCTTCCAGAAGATGCCCTGCTTGCGCTCGTGCCTCTGCCGTGGGATGGAGCGGAAATACTTCCCATTGAGGTTGGCATGGCCACAGGTGCTGAACCACCAGCCACCTATACGGGCAATGAAGGGACAATTTTAACTCATAGAAATTCCAGACAGAAAAAACTAGGTTCAATGCAGCTGATGCCCCTATTTCCCCCATTTTTCTAGAACTTCAGGATCTTAAAAGACCGCCTCATGTACAGCCAAGGAGTCCCATGCACAGGGAATCTCTCACAGATCTGACACGACTTCAGGCTGCGTCTGCAAATCCAGGCTGCTGCTCTTTGTGTGCAAAACCCTCTCCAAGCCTTCAGCAGCCAGGGCAAGGGGGGCCTCTGCTCTGCTTGAAAAGGTTCCATGCTAAGTGGCAGACAGCAAAGCTGTTATGAGCACAGATGCTTGGGCCAAGACCTGAATCATGAACCCTCCCTCGGCTTCAGCTTCCCTCTTGGTTCCCTGCACAGTTCTTCCCAAAGAAGCAGTTGTCCCAGGGGACAAGACCAGCTCAACAGCAAAGGGTTTCTAGTGCCACAGGGTCTGGGTCCCACCAGACCACCACCAGACAGTGGAGGGCTGAAAGGGAAGTGCACATACTGGGATAGAAATCCTCAGACTGACCTGAGAGGTGTTTGGCACAGTTTGTGTCAGCTTTAAGGTCATGGTCACGGTCCCGAGTGGAGAAGGGCAGCTGCCTGAATTCCCCAATGGCGTTTTCCAGCTCTCCAGACAGAGGCCCCAGCAGGTTGAGTGTGTAGGCTGTGCTCTCACCACCCAGACTGAAGACAAATTGAACCACCTGGGAATTCCCCTCCCAGTCTTCCAGCTCAATAAGGAGATTGTACTTTCCCTCTTGGACAAGGTGATGTATCTTCTCCAGGCCCAGCCAGAAGTCACCTGAAATAAGACTCATGACTTTGGCTGCAGGGACACAAACATGCCATGAAAAGCAGAGATATGAGCAAGCTCCAGAGACCAACAGGGAAAACCTAGGATACTGCAGTGTTTGAATCATTGTCTGGCACCTGCAGGACACAATCAGGAAGATCAAGGACCCCTGCTCTGCAAGCACTGTCCCACCCTTCAGCCTACATCTGTGCTCCAGAGGCCAGCAAGGGGAATACCTTTGGCTAAGCCTCCCTCATCCCACAGTGAGAACACAGACACCACCATCCACCTACCACGAAGGTCTCCAAAGCCATTCTTGTAGGCATCCCACAGCTGGTCAAAGTCCACAGAGCCATCCAGGCGCCTCTGGATCACTGTCCAGCCACCCTCTGTGAGAAGGGAAACACAGTCACAGGGGTTGCCATTGACCAGGCCACCCTGCCAAGGGCCCGGGACGCTGCACGGCTTTACCTGCAGTCATGTCACAGTAGACTTTGAAGGGCTGAGAGCCTGTGGGCTGTACCTGGAAAACGCCACTGCTTCGCTGCCCAGCCAGGAAGAGCTGGTGGCAACCCTCTGGGAGCTCTGCAGGGGAAGGAAACAGCGACTGAGGAGATGGCCACGAGCCCCAGTTCCTCAGCAGGTTGCTCCAGCACAGCCCCGGCACTTGCAGCCCTGGCCACGAGCCCGGCCAGCTGTGCTCAGCTCCGGACACGTGCTGGGGACAACGGCCCCTGACCTCAGCATCTTTAAACACTGTGACCCCACATCTTCCCTTTTATTCAAACAGAGCTCCTTGGGCTCTCATCCAAGGCAGAAGCCAGGCTTTGGGCCAGGCTAGAGTGACCTCAGCTGGAGAACAGGGCTCCCCATCAAGGAGGGACAGAGGAGTTCCCAGGTCCCTCTACACTCACAGACAGGAGTGGCCCATTTGGGGTGGGGCAATGCCCAAGTATCCCCATCCCACACGAGGCTGAAGCAGGTAAAGACGAAGTCCTGACATCAGGAAGGTGGCCGAGCATCCAGCACATGACCTCTTTCTCCCAGCAGCTGTGGTGGCCCAGACAGACCTCCTGCTGGGCAGCCTGCCACCAGCAGGCACAGCGCCAGGCTGGGGTGACCCTTTTTCCAAGATACACTGACTGAGCCAGGGAGGGCGGTGGACTCTGGGAGCCTCAGCTCATTGCAGGAACGGATTGCCCAGGGTGGAGCCACACCCTGCTTCATCCCCCTCCATCCCCAGGGGCTCCCACCGCTCCTTCTGCCTCCCAGGGACTTTGCCCAGAGCTGCCAGCAAAGCACCATTTCAACAGCTCTGATAAAAGTCCATCCAGGAACCACCACCCCCAGCACTTGGGAGAGATGAGGCAGGGGGAATCCATTACAACACCCGAGTCAAAAGGCCACAGAAGGATGTGCAGGACTTCAGCCCCAGGCTGCTGCACAGTCAAGGGGCTCTTTGTCAGCAGGGACAGGTGCCCCAGTCACCCCCAGACAAAGGGGCCCTGTTCTCCCCGGGCCAGGGCGGATGGGCTGTAGCTTTGGCTACCCTGGCTCACAGCTGCTGCCAGCGTGACCCTGACACACTCAAGAAACCTCAAGACAAGCCCTGGGCTGTGCTGGGGTGCTGGCTCCGGGGGTCTCCTCGCAGTAGCTGCCCCAGGGTCAGGGCTGACACCACGATCCAGAGCACAGCAAGGAGAAGGGCTTCCTCCAACAGCTGGGGGCTCCCTGGGGCAGATGGAAGGGGAGATAAAGGGCCTTTGAACTGCCAAGAGCAAAAGCAGCCCTTGCAGAGCATCACCCCATCCCATCCTCACTGGCTGATGGGGAGAATTTACGCTGCATTGGGGTGAAGAGCAGAGCCCAAGCTGGAGGAAAGGTCGGGGGGACCCAGGGGACAGAAAAATGACACCTGCCATCACCTTTCACCCATTTCCAACATATTCCTCTCTTTCCCTTCCTCTCTCCCCACAAAATTTCCCCTCCTTGGCAGGGGCAGCCCCTCTCCCACAGCCAGCACACCCCCAGGGCAGGACTGGTGCCACCACCAGCACACCACAGGACAAGCTGTGCCCCAGCCCTACCCTAAACCCATGACACAGGGACTGTGGGCATTGTGCATCAAGGATCAAAACCACACAGAGCCCCCCCAGCAGTGCAGAGGCTGAGTGCACCCTGGATATCCCCACCTTCTGGGTGGGGAAGGGCAAAGGCAGGGAAGCAAACCAGGCTCAGAGGAAGGAACACCACAGCCAGAGGCCCCTGCTCACAGTGCCACAGCAGGAAGGCGCTGGGCTTGCCAAGCTCCTCATCTCCTCTCTCCACTGCATCTCCCAGCATTGGTGGGATGGCACCAGGTAGATGTTTAGTGGTCCCAGCATGCACAAGTCAATTCCATCCCTGCCTGTTTCTCATTTCTGGGCTCTGGCTGCACTCAATCCCTGTTCCCCTGCTGCCACAGGGACTCTCCAGCAGCTGAACGAAATGCAGCTGCTTGAACAGCCTCTGCCCAATCTTTTAGTTTGAGGAACATGCTTGTTAGTTCCAGTTCACGTTGCACATCCAAACGGCACCAGCAGAACAAGCCTTCCTGGCTGCTCCTGTGTTTCCTTTTCCCTCCCCCTTTATTTAGCCAAGCAACACAACAAGGCTGGATCTGCCTTAGGCTCTGTGTTCACCCAACAGGATTTCCAGCCATGACACAGGGGAGGTCACTAACCTGGAATAAACACCATCCTCAGGGACGGCAGGGCATGCCCAGAGCTGCCTGCATTGCCTCCCCCTCTCCCGCCCCAAGCCAGCCCCATTATTTTGGAGTCTCAGCGCCATGGGGAGAGCCTGAGCAGGGCTCTACCTTTCCCCTACTCGGCTGGCTGCCAGCAAGCACAGGCTCTGCCCAAAGACGTGATCCTCTTTCTGCAAGCTATTAAACCTCTCACTCTCCAGGCAGCTTTGAGCCTTCAACTTTCACATGCTTGGCCCCACGCCAGTTCTGCTCTGAAAAAACTTGTGTTCACTGGATGCAAATAAAAGGGTCTTTCTGCAAGGGCTGCTGGGGGAGTTCAGCGCCACTCCTCAGGGCTGTGCTGGCCCCAGGCTCTGCCCTACCATGGCCAGAGCCGCCAGCTCTGCCCAGCTCTGAGGGCACAGGGCCAGCCTGTGTGCTATAACATTTGCCAGAAAAGGCACAGCCTTGCCAGCTCTGCCCAGCTCTGACAGCAGCCACAGGTCCCCTTGGGCACAGGGCCAGCCTGTGTGCTTTAAGATTTGCCAGAAAACTCTCTTGACTTGATAACGAAAGGAAGCCAATTTGTTTCCTGCCAGTGATACCAACATCAGGGATTGGGCAAGGAAAGGGGAAGCTCACAGCTGGTGGGACAGAATTGGCGTGTCCAGGGTCTTTCCATCAGGGACAGAGCAGCTCTGGAAGGTGCTGAGCTCACACAGCATCCGTGGGGGCTGTAGCTCTTGCTGCCTTGCACTATGCATCACAGACATTTCTGTAGCCAGTGTCAGCCAGTCCTACATCTGCATCAGCAAGTAGCAAAGGTCCCAGCCCTTCTCCCAGCATGACCCAAGAGTGGAATCAAGGGTTATACTTGATAACCTATAAAGGTCCCTTCCCACCCAAACTATGACACACACTACTGCCGGCAAGTCACAAAGAAGAGCTTGCAAAAATAACAGGAGAGAGAAGTTCTGAGAGAGTTTTCTGGCTCAGAAGTGCTGCTCAGAGTAAGGTTGGCCCTGCACAGCCTCACTGAACTGCACCCTGGAAGAGTCTGAAGCCCCACATTCCACTTCTCTTCTAGTCCATGTGGACAAGCCTTTTGCTCTGCCCAACCAGCTTTCAGACACACCAGTGACAGCTCCAGGCTCCACAGACAAGTTATCATGTGTTTTCCCATAACCATCCCTGCTGGGCCAGGCCCTGAGCAGGAATTCCCCATCCTGCCTGGTTTCTGTTTCGCTCCTGCTGAAGATCCCTGAAGCAGCACAGGCAGAGGCAGCACTGTGATCTGGCTGACACAGCATGGCAGCAGCTGCTCCTGGCCAGCAACCCCTACAGGGACATCAGTTCCTGTCTGCAGGACGTGGCACAGCTGGGGACACCTGCTCTGCTGCCCTCTGCTCTGCAGGAGCCCCTCCAGTCCCGCTGCCAGGGCAGAGGATGCTCCTGGCTCTGCAGGGAACTCTCCTGCTCCAATGCACATTTCCCAGGGCTGTGAGCATCCACTGCAACTCAGCACCTCCAGCCATGGATAGTATGAGCTGAGACACTTGTGCTTCATGCATGAGCTCTGAATATGAGCCGAGAGAGAGATACACAAGCACACAGCTCTGCTCTCAGGCCAGGCCTCCCTAAACCCTACTCTCCTCCCATAGACAGCAGAGACACTTCACTGCCTGGTGTGAACAAGAGTTAACTCGAAAGGGCTGAGACCCTCCTATCCCCAGCCCACACCTGCCAGTCCTTTTTGACAAATACCTGGTCTCAGGCTTTGTCTGCTTCCCACTGCATGCCTAACAACGGGCAGCAAAAAGCCTCTTTAATCCTTAAATTCCTGCTGGACTAACACTGGCCCAGAAGACAAGGATTCTGCCTGTGCTCCAGATCCCCTCACTCTGCCATACTCCCAAGCTCCAGCTTTTCAAGCAAATCTCACATCCTGGCTCAGGACAAATGAGCCTTTTGTTTCCAAAAGGTTGCACCTGCTACAGGTTTGCTGTGGTATGGACGCGCAGAGCAGCACAAGCAGATACTCACTCTGTGTCTGCACGGGCTCCCCACTGCCATTCTGACTCTGGTTGGTGAGGTTGAGGCTTTTCTTCAGGTTTATCTTCCACTTTGGAGGCTGTGTTTTGTTGTGGTGTAGGGGAATTAGCAGATTGACCTAAAAAAGATGCACAAGTCAGAACGGTTTTATCTCAGCTTGGTTTCTATTCCATTACTCAGGGGAGTAGGTCAGCCACACACCAGCCACTCCCTGCAGCCAGAGCTGTGGCTGAACTGGCCTAGAAACCTCGAGGAACAGGAGATACCCAGTCCTGGCCAAGCCAGAAGTAATTGTGGTTTTTCACACCCATGCTAGCTAGTTCATTCTGCAGAAGAATGCAAAGGCAGAGCCCAGGGAGGCTGTTCCCACCCACCAGTCCCTGCTATTGCTCTGTGCAAACTCTCTGGAAGGGTGCAGGCTGCCACCCTCCCGCACTGAGGATCCCCTGCAGCACAGGGACCGGAGCCGGGGCCCCTTTGGAGTCCCCGAGGCCGGGGAGCACCCGCACAGCCACCGGAGCTGGCACGGCAGCGGTGTCACACCGGGGCACCCACCGGGGCATGCAGGGCCAGGCTGGGGGCTGCAGCCCAGCACAGGGGCTCACCTTGCTCTGCAGGCTTTTAATCTGCAGGTTCTGCTTGTCCAGCTTGTACTGCTGCTGCTTGATTTTCTGCAGAAGCTCCTCGATCCGCAGGTTCTGAGCATCCATCAGGGACTGCGGGGGAA